CACCATCATCAAGCCGTGAAAACCTGAAATCCTACATTTCAATAATGTTTTAAAATGTTTTTAAGACCTGACACTGTTACTGATATACACAAAGCCAAAAAACAGATAAAAATGGAGTCAGAAGAAATCTGTATGTTACAATAAAATTTTTCATAAATCTCCATTTCTCATTTCAGCACACCAGACTCCACTGTAACATTTTTGATGAATGAATTATAAGTCAAGGTTAATATATAATAAGTACACTATATTTTTTTAAATAAGTTTATTATATATTTACATTCATATAATAATAATAATAATAATAAATTTGTAAAACAATTTAGAGTCCTTCAAGGATTGAAATATAATGTATCTTCTCACAACTAATTCTTAAGATCTACATCTTATACAAGGTACTGTTGTTGTTTCATGGTATGCAAGGTCACTTTTAGGTTTCTTTTGTGTTTTTTGTGAGTTTTCTTCTTTCTCTTTTACTGTTTTTCTCAATTTACTTTGGTTTCCATGCATAGTTTTTATTTGGCAAGGCTTGGTTATCATAAACTTCTAGTGACTGGTCTGTTGTTATGCGCAACAAAAGACAAAAATATTTCACTGAATATTAAAATTAATTCAGGCCACATAATTTTAAGATTTTACCTTTTTAAAGTTAAAAATTATCTATTTGCCTGGTACTGTATTTAAACATCTTTTTCGATATTGAATTATGCTCTTTAATGCTGAATGAACTATAAAATCATGCCCAACAGCATTTTCAAAATATTGATAATGTAAATCGATTGTCGCATCCGTAATCAGACTTTTACACTTCAACTAAACATGGCACAAGTTCATTATTTATCTTTTTAAAATTCCAAACAATATGATTATAAATTTTCAACAGCGTCTGTGATAAATGGTGCAGTACATAAAACAATCTGTCCAGTCAATAGGATCTATCGTTGGTGTTACTCAATTTCAAAATGATACTAGTACATAAAACTTGGATACAAATCACGATGTTCATCGTGTACCACATCTGATCTGTTCAAAGACCAGAAATATGAACAAAAGGGCATGATTAGGTCTATTCAAGTGGATGCAAGATGGAAAGGATTTCTTGGGACAGACAGAAGCAACTAATAACTGACGAGCTTTATCTTGTATACTGGTTACAAGTTTAAGAATAAATTTCTCAACAAGTAGTATAGGTAACGTATTATGCTATTCTTTGTTTTGCCTAAAACAAGCGACTTCGAAGTCACAAGTAATATTAAACATGCAGGAAGAACTAGTAGCAGAGTATTTGTGAGTAATAAAATATTTAAAAAAAGTGCATCATTTGAATAAATAAAATATTCAATCTAGCTTAGCCTTGTTACTATTATAACATCCTGATATATAACTGGGGGGAAAGAAAGAAAAAATTAATTTGCAACGCAGAAAATTTTACATTAAACCAATGTAGAGAAAAGAAGAGAATTATGTTTAAAGATATTATTATTACCTCAATATCAATTTCATATTGTGCCATCATACACAAAATTTAGTTGTAGAATATAGCTGCGAAAAATAAAGGAACTGACATTCTGGCAATATTTATAACTAAACGGCAAAAAAAAAAAAAGAGTTTGAATAAAATTGCGTAAGCTTTGTTAACAACACACGAGAATTTATTTAGGGAAATGCACAAGCGATGCTGAAAACGTCACTACTGCGGATGGAAAAATGCTCCAGTTTAACGAGAAAAGTGGCAGGTGTCTGACACTCATTCGCTGTTCTTAGGTTTGTATTTGTGTATTTATTCATTCTTGATTTATTTAATGTGATAAACAACCGAGACTAAAAACTGTCGAAAAACTGCTCTCGTGTCCTCTCTGTCTCGCACATATTTCTACGCTCTTACAAGAGCAGACAAACCAACAACTCACAACACGCTGTCCTTACAACAAAACAGAGCTGACAAAGATGGATTGTAATCAAAGTCAGGAAGCAGGGGGAGGCTTCACTCATCAGAGGAAAAACGTGAAGCGACCACTTTGTGATGAGCCTATAAATACACTGCAGTATCGTTACATATTACAGTATTTTATGTTAACGTAGTATGTTAAAGGTGATTCTCTATAATATAGGCATACGGAATGAGAGGGCAAAAAAAATGATTATATTAAAATTTCATATATGTCATCTGCATAATATTCATTTCATTTTCTGCCTTCATAGAATTTCCAAAATTCAAGATGGAAATGCAAAATCAATCATTACTATTTACATGTTTGGAAGAAAAATTCCTGAAAAATAATACAATTCTTGGGAAATTATAAATCAAGGTGCAATTATAAATAAATGAGAAACTGCAAACAGCAATTCACTGATAAGCTCTGAACTCCACAATGTAGTCCGTAAACAACTTAAAATATTTGTTGCCATTTGATCATTTAAATATTAATCCTTTTATGAGGAACTACTTTCAATAACAGAAAGTGATTACTGACTGTACTCCTTTTTATCACTTGTTCGTTTATAAACAATGAAATGAGTAAAATAAGAATTTATACATCACGCAGGTTAAAATGAAAAAAAGAATACGGTGCCCCTGTGAAAGAACCTCAAATGCAGTAAATTTTAGTATGAAACATTAGGTGGTACATCGATTGCCTTTACTGCGTATAGTCACGATGCAGAAAACACAGGAGTTAATATACAGATGGTGTTGGAGGCGTACATTAAAATAATCAGGCAAATTTCATTTTGGTCCCCATCAGTCCACTATGACTTCAAGTTTAAATGAAGGTGAAATATGACAATTTATCAAAAATAGCTCACCACACGAAATAATCATACACGGCGTAAAATATAAATGCCATTAAAATCTCACTTGACGGACATGATTTTGACAAATCATATTTAACAAAATACATGGGAGAAATCACACGCACATTCATATACCGGTGAGCAGCTTGGTGAACAGACCTCTATATTGCTCTACGTTAAGGCTTCTTTCTGCTACAATAACGTAGCAAAAGATGAATACAAAACAAAAATAAAAACATTTAATATTCTGTCACCTCCAAATCATAAAATTGCAACACTAAAACTTAACCTACACTTTGGTGAGAATGTACAAAGGCAAAATAATGTACTTCCTTATTTCTGATCATCTGTGTCTTCTGCAGTACTTTGTACGTTAAGAGTCTTTCCATAATCATTTTTGCAGCTGGAGTACACAAGAAGATGGAGGAAACCAAATGTACCTTGGAAATGTCAATATTTTCTGTAAACCACAGGCCCATAGAGGCACCTGACCCATATATACGGAGCGCTCAAAGAGGGGACCAAAAGCTTCAAGGTCATATCTGAGATCTGCTTACTCCAAACTGTTTCTGCTTTCTCACTTGATTTTACCCTTAAAAAACACAAGTAGCAGAAGTCTACGGAGGTTGATTGTCTCTGTCTGGCAGACAATATCAGTTGCAAAGGAAGGAAGGAGGTTCATTCGGAACCTGAAGTCTGCTAAGAGCCGCGCTAGTAACCAAGCCTCTGCCATTAATCCATTACTTCCCTTTCAATCAACATAAAGTGTTACATATTTCCATAACTTATCAATACCATGCGTAATTTCTCTAGCAAAATTAAAAATATGGTGTCATGGCTATTAAATATTTTTCTATGAACTTAAAGATCTACCTAAATAATGGAATTGGTAGATATTTGAAAATTTACTTCACATGTAAATAGGATGGATGACGATGGTACGATATCTGGAATTGTAATACGGTACCGTATTACATGTTTTTAGAATGAATCAAATCCATAAAAAACATCTCTCAAACCATAAAAGCCATCACAAACACAGTTAACATATCTCCATAATCATATCAAGTATTCTGTAAGTCTGCTCTCATAGACCGACGGCGAAACACACGAACCCGTACGAACGCGGGCAACGTGCACACTTCTGTGCATCAAGGACATCCTACAGAACAAAACCCATCATTTTGAGCTTTTGAAAGCAAGTGTGGCACGGTCAGTTCCATTTCTATCCTCTAGGTAGCCCATTTAATTTCATCCGTAACATACGAGCTTGCAGTACAAACCGATAAATTACCAAGGAAGCAAATAAATACTTTAGTTACATATAGACAAAAACATAACATCAGTTTTAACCACAATAATAAACAGGATACACGCACTACTGGCAAAACGATAAACTGCATTACAGTATCTGAGCAATCGCATTATAATTAAAATATATGAGACTGACTACTGGCTAAATGCTATCATGGGCTCACGCGCTCAAAGACCCTCCTCAAACTTATAAAATACAAGAGAACAAAATTAAAGAAAAATTACATCAAAAGAAAAAAATACATAAATAATTTTGTTTCATACTTTTTCCCTATCTTTTGAACAAATTCAATTCGAATGTGCCTACTTTACATCGTCTTATCCAACATATTACCTTATAACTATCCACATATTGACATTGTTACTCGTTGACCTTTCTATCATTTTTAATTATAGTAATAGTACCTCGACACTATAGTATATACAAAAATATACAACCCTTGTTTTACTGTATTTTGCTAACGAGAAAATTCCCCTACTCAAAATTATACTACAGGATATTTATTTATACAGCTGTGCCTGTCAAGCTGCAGAAAGACAGAGAATGGCTTCTGCATGATGATGATGATGACAATGATGATAATATGTACTTAATTTACAATCTACAAACATCCAGTTTGCAAAATATTAATAAAAAACTTGCTTCTCTGTTCATATTAATGGTTAAGAAATATTGGAACTGTGGGACAGAGCAAAGTTTCTTCCTTATCCACCAGTCTGTCAGAGCTATTCATATCCGACGCTTGTACTCGGCCGCAGTTTTCAGCGACCTGGCAGGAAGTCGAGGTATCCATCCTGATTCTGATAACTCCAATCACTAGACCTGGCCGTGTTGTTGTTATTCAATGGCCAAGTTCTGGCAGGGGAAAGCTTAATAAAAAACTTCCTTCACGTCACGTTATGAACTGATCAAAGAAAATATAATCAAACTCCTCGCTTTTTCTACATTTAGTCTTTTGTTTCTGAAAAGGCCTTTAAAATATCACTTACTGACCGTAGCCTCGGTCAGTAATTACAATACAATACTACAGGGTGCTACAACTCTCATGTTAAAAGAAATACTGCATCAAAATTTTGAGAAGATATGCAACATCATTCAGAATATAAACTTTAATGTAAACACAAGACAAAGCAAAACAATTACTGCTGTAGAGACTAGTAATATCACTTTTGGATGATGACCCAAAGTTTTGGTGCGGATAAGACAGACCAGCACCCGATAATTACTCTTAAATGTTGGCATACCCAACCCAACTTAACACGGTCTCGCCACCCAAAACTGATAAAACAAGGCTCAAAAGTCTGAGACTTCTATTATCACTGTAACTTCTTTATCCTGCAATGTGATGGAATACGCATGAAAATTCAGGAGTGGTATCCTTACGAAGAGAATTATGAACTGCCATATTTAATAGCTGCTGGAGGGTTGTTTAACGAACTTCAAAATCTCTATGAAGAACCACCAAATTAACCGAGTTGCCTCCATCTTGAGTGATCCAGTTGTTAGTCTAAGGCATTGTATTTTTTGCTGACGAGTGTCGAATAAGGGCCCAAAATGCTAATATACTTATTGAATAGTTAAATAAGGATGGATGATTACACGTCCTACGTCCGCAGACATCTGACGCGCTTCTGTCAATGGGGAGAGGGGTCTCAGACCACTAGACAATGAATTATAAAGTTCAACCCATGCACTGGCAACTTTGTTCACAAGCACAAACTGTTATTTCACTGGAGCTACGTGTTCTCACCGCCATAGCGCATAAATCACATTTCCTTCAACCTCTGAATTCCGATTCGTACATATCTCACCAAGTCATTCAGAGAACTGTGCAATGTAAGAGGTCCACAAAAATGGTCTAATTCTATGAAGAAATCTGTATAAAGCAGAGAGAAACACAAATTAATATTAATTAATAACACGGACCTTCAGCAAAGTGCAACCTCAATGTAAAGAGATTTATAAGATATGTAAATATGAAGATTCCTGTCTTCTGGGTTGTTGTGCTGTGTAGTATTGTCGATGTTTACTAATGTTTCTGAGGTCATACTGCCTCCGTCATCAGGGCGATGAAATGTTTGTTAACTTCGACCAGACTACACAGCGCAACAACCCAGAACACAGAAATCTTCATACTCGCCGCTGTGAAAACCTCAAATCTCACATATGTAAATATGTTCCTTTTAACAGATACTCATATATAAAAAGTCTTGAAATATATAATCTTCACGTCCCATCTTCTAAATTCTAATTACATGTCACAATGTGGCACTGTGGTTTAAAAATACATTGACGTGGTTGGAACCATATTTATTCTATGTTGAAATGGTAATCTTGAAGAAAGGCTAACCAATATTGTACGTTAGCTACATTACAGGCTGACTCTAAATGCTAAGACTGGGATAAATGGTCTTCCTTCAAACGGGATAACTAGCTGCACAGTAATGAGGATGTCACATGATAGGCACTGGTTAAAATTTGGAGTAAAGTACAGTCACTGACTGCAACAGTTTTCCTAGTGTCTGCAAATTTGCTGGCCCAGCTCGTTAGGGTTTGGTTAATGCAATGGGACAGCAAAACATGTATTCACAGATCTAAAACAATTATGCTTGGCGAGGTTTTCCGCACTGATACACATACACACTACTGGTCAATAGATGTCAACTTGAGACTGGGGATACTGGGAACGACCCGTTCTTCAAGTGCCTGAGCACTGCGGGTCCAAACGTTTCGTTGGCTTGATCTATAGACATTTGGTAGGACTCCTTGGAAGAGGGATCGGCCCCTCGCAAGGCCTCTACCTGTACACAGGACAGCACAACACAGAAAAACGCGAACATCCATGGCTTGAGTGGGATTCGAACCCACGGTCCCAGCGACCGAGCGGCACAAGGCCCACGCGGCCACTGCGGACCCCCCAACATGAGACTGCAAGGAAAAAATCCAAAGGCTTTTGAGTGGCATGGCCGAGAAATCAATTAAAGGAGCATTTTGTTTGGGCTTGGAGGGAAATCAAACGAAAGACTGGAAGGTCTGGTACAAATGACACATTAGAGGGTCAATCTTACCTTTGTGTTTGCCCTTATAAACAAGTAAGTCTGCTTGCTCCCAAAGTTCATGGCATGACAGCATGTAGCTGAAGTGCTGGTTCTGCTTCTGCATTGCCGAGTGCACCGACAGAGGTACAGCAACACACGGACCCATGTTGGCTGCTGGAGGCTGCTGCGCCACACTGTTACCTCCACCTACGCCACTGCCGCCCATTCTTCCTGCGGCCAGCTCTCCGCTGCTGTACCCAGATGACTGACTACCTACTGATCCCACGGACCCTGCAGGAGACGGAGTAGGTGACAGTGGGGAGGGAGTACCCTGCCCACCCACTACCTGTCCACCACACTGTTCTGGCTGCAGTGGTGTCGGCTGTGTTGCCTGTGGATTAGAGCATCTTAGTATAAATAAAATCTATTCACATACATTAAAAATATGATGCTAGACTTTTCAGAGTTAATGATGACAATAATTTGTACAGCGTGATTCTGCATAATTATTATTCTCAAAATACGCTTACCTTTTGATGATAATCTGCCAGAACCTTTTGATATTCCTTCACTTCGTGTTTTCTCATCTTGAACAATTTGAGGTATAACAGCGATTGGCATCGTAGACTGCGATAAAAGAAGAAAATATTTTCCTGAGAATAGCTTCTTATATTTTAAAACCAATAACTTTTTCCATTTGAATGTTGTACACAAAAACCGAATTACCCCTCTTTATTTATAATTCAGAAACAAATACTGATGACATCACTCTTCACTTGTCTGACCTCAATTTTCTCACCCACATTTAAGACTACGAATACAAAATTCGTAAAACTTTAACAGATAAATTAAGGATTGAAGAACTATCTATACTATCTCTAAAAGGTTTTTATAAATTACCACTACTTTTGATTTTTAAAATGGATAGTGGATCAATCTTGAAGAGTAATTGGACACTACAGTATTAAAGAGTAGCAACTCTACATAAAAAATTAATGTCACCAGTTACAAGATACTCTTAGCGTAACTGGTGACAAATTCAAGCAGAGGCATTCCAAATCGCAACATTGCACTCGTCTCTTTCAGCACAACACCTTGTTTGATGACAACTCTAACTTACCTTAAAATTGCGAGTTTATTGTCTATGCTGCCTTGCGGGGAACTGTTCTGCTGGGTTCGGAACTTTGAAGAAATATACCTGAAAGACAAAATGAAGGATCACCTTATAAACTCGATTATGCTTTACACACACAATTTTAAGTGCAACACTCACCACACAATATCACAGAAACAAAATATTATAATGTACAAGATGAGAAAAAGTCCACTCTCACAAAAGAAACACATCATTAATTTATAAAATAAATATTTTTCAAATTCCACAAATCTTTTTCACTTAAGTTTACTGTCATGGTGAATAATGTGCAGATGGCACATGAAAGCTAAAACTTTAAAAATGCAAAATTGAAAATGATGGAAAGGCCAGTTTACTGATGAGTAAATAGTCTTACACAAACTGAGTAGAGCAGTGGTCCCCTACATTTTGTGCCTACGGGCACATTTGAGAGTTTATGAAATCGTGGCGGGCACCAACCAATTAACAAAGCCAAATTTTCTTTTCTCTGCACAACTAAGATATGGACACCAAATAATACACAAAACAACAAGACGTTTAATGATACAAGAAACCGTGCAATCAAAAATAGGCACTTCTATAAGTACAATTATTATTACTCAAGTGGGAAGTTAGTGCGATGTTTGGCGTTGCATTTCATCAGCCAGATTTTCAAATTTGAGAGTGTAGGACGATATTGCTGCTCGCAAACAATCGTCAAGATGGGCGTCAGTAAATCGAGATCTGCGCTTTGATTTTATGATGTCATGGTTGAACGGCCTTCATTATTCAGTATAACCTCTTTCCGTAACAACGCAGGCATCCAAAAAAAGCCTTGGCGGACGTCATGGCGCCCGCGGGCATCGCATTGGGGACCACTGGAGTAGAGGATGTAGCTCCATACAGCTCCATTCCTCAAATAAGTCTTATGTTCACATAAATTAAACAAACTAGAGAAATAAGTATCTGTCATCTACACGATCATACCCAAGGGTCCTGTTTTTAGTAATTTCATATAACACTGCACGACTGTCTTACTTTATGAGACTCAGAGTATCCTTGTACATGGTAAAAGCTGCTTTCTCTGTGCAACTCTCGTGCTCCATAGCATTCCCAGTGAGAAGGAAAAACAGCACAGCTTCTAGGTACTGCATTCCTTGTGCTGTGTGGTCTGTTTCCCTGTCTGCCCCATGCTTCAACCTCTTGGCCTCTGTCAGGTACTGGTTCTGTTGATTCTGATCTCTGTACGCAAAAGTCAAATGTCAGGTACATTTCGGCGCAGTTTCATGCCCTTCATACGTCTTCTGACTACTTAATAAATTATTATATTTGCACTATGTCAAATAATGTATAGCAAATAAGCTTTAGAAGATGGCTGGCTGTCTTGTGTGTTGGAGTTTACCAATATTTCAGAGGTCCTTGCTGCCTGCATCATCACGGTTACAACCAAGAAGACAGCCATCTTTGGACTCACCACCATCAAACCTCAAATCCTACTTAATATGGTTCAGAACACGTAGCTGTTCCTCAGGTCTGGTTTTTAGAGCATATAAAATAATGGCTGTTAAAAGGGACTTTAAAAGAATTCAAGCAGGTACAGTAAAAAATTATTACAGTTCGTACAAAAATAAACCTTCTGCAGTGACTACTTAGTTTAGTTGTACATTGCATATAATATTTCTTAAGACAACTGTTTACAAAAGCTTTGAAACACTAATCTGAAACAGCGAAAAGATGACAGAATCCGCAACCGTAATTCTCTCTTTCTGAAATGTGACATTCAGGACCAGACGTAAACTTAATTCAGAACCAACAGCTGCGTCAAAATGTGAAGTAGGCACCATATTGAGATGCATATATGTCGGAAAGGGTAGTTCATAATTGGCAGATCTGGTAGTAACCCAAAATAACGAGTCCGAATTTTTCCCTATTTCATTTTATGTTAGTTTGACTAAAATACACCATAATCTCTGCAACTCATACCCCAGCTTCTACTTTTCAGTAACTTTAGTAACTTGTAAAGAAACATATTTTGTTTCCAGTACACATTTATAAAGGGCTATTAGTCACAAGTGAAACACTTTTAGGCAGAGCGGAACAAGAAAAATATCAGACACCTACAGTACAAAACAATTTTCTGCTCACCCGTTACACTTCAAACATATATAAATTGACAAGCACATTTGTTAAACCATGCCAAACATTCTGCAGACTCATACCTGTCCTCATCTTCTGAGGCGTCCTCATCTTCGCGTTCAAAATAGGAGAAGTACACTTTGTGTGTTGTGTGCGGCCAATTCATGGCAGATATAGGATAGCCATGACCAGGAGGTACAGAGTAGCCTGCCAGAGGATCTTCAGAATAGTGCAGCTCAGAGCCACCTGGTGAGTCACTTCCTGCTGCGGCTACCATCTCTTCGTTGTTATCTTCTCGCTCGTGGTTTGTTGGAGGCACATCTGTGAGAGCCACTGTGCTCTGTAGCAGTACAGGATTGTACACTCATAAATTATGTCAAAGAGCAAAAATTTTCTGGTGACAGTAAGCATTTTCTGTTAATACACACCATGGATATTTAATTATGACACTTTATCAACTGCAGACATTACTTACTGTCAAAGAAAATAATATTATTATATACAGTATACAGCAAAGTTGTGATCCTTCAAACACAATTTTTGTATAATAAAAATTTGAAAAGGTGTGCGACTTTTGAATAATGTTGTACTGGTACGATCTACAGAAAATAAATTAAATTACTTATGTGAAGTATGCCGCTGTATATTTCGATTGATGCATCTAAATTAAGGAAGATCAGTATTTAGTCCAATGCCATAACCATGACAAAAAGTGAATTCAGGGCTCCAGAAAGATCATCCTTTAATCATGGAGATGTTAATAAAGGCATGTTGTAAATACTAAATTTTAATAAATATGAAGAAAAGAAACTGAAATTTTATGAGTGTAGATTTTGTTTCATGGCTAGTATATGAAAATGTAATCCTTAAGGCAATGTCCTACGTAAGCGATAACAAGCGAGCTACCCGAGGGGTGTCATATGAAGTGGGGAATCGCTTGTTGTGTCCGACGTGAGAGACTGCAATAGAAGCACATGGCCTTCCTGCGCATGCGCCTTACTGGCCAGCGCAGCGACTAGCGTGAAGATATTAAAATATTTTATCTCGGACTTTGGCCGCTTCCCTCTCCTGACCGCTTCGCTGGAACCTAGGACAGCGCCACACAAACAGCCAGTTTGATATTTCCGCTTCTCCCGCGCAACTCGCATTTAATCGTTCACGTAGGACAGCGGGTAAGTCCTGGGTATGTTTAACTGCTGAAGGACTAAGATACACCATCCACCAGTTAGTTGTTTAAATCTATGTATATACTCACTTGACTAGATATCCTTAGGGCGGTATGTTCACTGGACTCCTCAGGCTGCTGCTGAAGCTTACGTCGCTTGCCAGAACCACGCTCGTGGCTATGTTTATCACGATGCCTGTGGCTGCTGCCACCTTGTGAAGACACCCGACTGCATTCCGTCGACAAAGACGACACAGAACTTCCACTTGGCCTGCGCTCACGTTGGCGTTTGCGTCCATTACTGCCACTGCTCTTTCTGTGATGTTTAGACTTTCCACCAGATTTTACATTCCTGTTAACGAAATTGCATCACATGATTAAACTGTTATATAAGCAATTTCTGGTTAGTCTTACTTTTCAATAAAATATCCAAATAAGAAAATCCTGTGTGAATAGTATTTGTTCACTTGTTAGTCTTTTCTCAGAATAATCTGCTCTTTCTTGTCTTCAGCATCACTGATCAGTATAACATTTTAACCAACCATAATTATGTTATGTTCCAAGTAGTTAAAATTTATGCAGAAAAATACATTACATACCCACTTCTGCACCAGCCACAGAAATTCACAACTACATAATACATACCACACACAACAAACAATGCCACTTCAATTTATATAGGTCATATTCACTATTGTACAATATTGAAATGTTTTCTAACCATTTCAAACCATACGATTCTGAGGAAGAAAAGAAACATGAACCAAGCTTCTAAAGCAGTGGTACCCTACGTGGCGCCCGCCAAGGCCTTTTTTGGGTGCCCGCGTTGTTACGGAAAGAGGTTATACTGAACAATGCAGGCCGATCAACCACAAACATCATCAAATCAAAGCGCAGATCTCAACTTACTGACGCCCATCTTGACGATTGTTTGCGAGCAGCAACATCATCCTACACTCTCAAATTTGAAAATCTGGCCGATGAAATGCAGCGCCAAACATCACACTAACTTCCGACTTGAGTAATAATAATTGTACTTATAGAAGTACCTATATTTGATTGCACGGTTTCTTTGTATTATTTGGTGTCCATATCTTATTTGTCCAGAGAAAAGAAAATTTGGCTTTGTTAATTGGTTGGTGCCCGCCACGATCTCATAAACTCTCAAATGTGCCCGTAGGCACAAAAAGGTTGGGGACCACTGATCTAAAGCATATAACAGCTGAAATATGGCAAAGAAAGTTAGATTTGTAAGTTGACACTGTAAACCAAGTCACAGCTACTACCTTGCTTGATCATGTTTTTGTATCACTTTAGAAGATGTCTTTTGTTTTATCTTCTGTGGCACCTAGTAGCATCCTTGTTAATTTACAAATTTAAGGAATTTTGCCTCGCCAGATCATGGGCTAATAAAGGCAATGAAGATAGGTGACAACAGACAAATTGCAAGTTTAAATTTTTCAATCAATCTGCTATATACAAAACCATTGGCTGTTATTCAAGCTAGTAATCAACATTACACATCTCTTTGAAGTATCAAACTGTTATTGTTCAAAGTTTACTTTCTGAACCAAAATGGTGTGTTGGCTGGTTAAAGTTTTTGGTAAAAACCACATAAAAATTTGATGCACAGTCCACTTACCCTTCTACTGCAGAAGTACCAGTCTCTCTGACTTCTGGATGGTTCATAGCATTGGAAATGTCTCTATTTCTGCTACCTTTTCTTTTCTTTTGCTTCTGGGAAGCCTCGTGATTAACTACCGTACTGTCATAACCATTATCCTGCACCAATGAATCAGTGTTCTTATCAATATCACACTTTGGTATCACTACGTCTACATCCTCGCAACTGGGCGACTGAATACGCTGCTTTTTGCCCTTCCTACTATAGTCTGGGTCACTTAGAGCCTGTTGCCTTGTATCGGCCAGTTCTGTTCGCACCCTAATGTCCTCCCCACCACTAGGCCTCTTTCCGGAACCTCCTGGAATCGGAATTTTGGACAGTCTAGACAGATCCAAATGACAAAAAATACTTGGAATTCCATCAGCACGATACACAATTGAAGGAATTTCCACTTTTGGTGTGCTCTGTGCACTCTTCTTGTTTGATGAAGTGTCACGCACACTTTTATCTGCTACAGAATGTCTAGATGGTTTCTCTAACACTTTCTTCGCGGTCTTTCGTCGTAAAGGTTTCTCAGGACTACGCTCTCTTGTGCCAGGCTTTCCAGATGTTGCACCATACTTGTCAGCCTTCGCTGGACTTGAATTCACATCAAAACCCATACTACCTTGCTTGCTTGTCGTTGCATCGTTTGACAATGGGGATAATAAACGAGGGCTCACGGGCGTTGGCGCACTCTCATCTTCCACCGAAGAAGACGTCCTCTCTGATACACATTCCACTACAAGAACACCAGGAGTTTTTGAGCCACCCTTACCCTTTGCACCTGCACCTTTCCCACCCCCACTGGCACAATATATACCCCCTTTAGCCCCACCTTTGGCACCCCCCTTAGCCCCACCTTTAGCACCTCCCTTAGTAGGAACAAAAAGTTTTCTCAGGGTATCACTTTTCTTTTTGTCTTGGATGGCTTTGCCTTCTGTATCCAACTTGGGGGGGCTCTCTTCTATCTTCGAAATAGGTGGGCGAGACACGACGGATCTGTCGCTGTCCCTATCACTGTCTGAAGACTGTTTCCTCTTGGACAGACTGTCTGACTTGCTCCGATCCTTCTCGGACTCAGAACTAGAGTCAGGACTGTTGTTACGCTGACTTTTGCCCTTGAAAGCCCTTGCGGCCTTGTCTGAGGACGTATTTACAACATCTAATTCATGGTCAGTATCTGAAGAGGAATCAGTTGTGACGTAACAACTTTTCACCACATTTGACTTCTTATTTCTTCTGGGGTAAGGCCTTCCAGGACCAGACTGTTTTCTGGTACCACCTGCCACATCATCCTTAGATCTCTTCCTACTGTTAGAACCTTTCTGAACCTTCTCCTTCTTTGGAGCAGTAGCTTTCTTTTCGTCTTGTACTGGTATCACGCCAGATCTTGCCTTACTTCTACCTCTACCAGCCTTTTTAACATTACTCTGAACTTTGCTGTTTTTTCTTGCCCACTCGCCATCCCTTTCCTCAGACCCGCTAAGAGAAATAGGAGAGGGGGGTTTCGGTCTGCCTGTTGAAACATTTCTCCTTCGTCTGTCTACTTCATCTTCTTCATCTGACGCACTTAATAGCGTACTTTCTCTTATACCAAATGACTCTCTTCTGGTTGCACATTGAGCTCTTGGTTTAACATTTGGCATTTCATCTTCAAACCGATCCTGAGCAGCGACTTCTTTTGTATTTGCTCTGGAACCTCTTTTACCCCCATCTGAATCATCATCTGACCCACTACCTGCGGACAGAGGTGGCTTGGGCCTTACGTTGACTGATGGTTTAGACTCTTTTATTTCACCATCTGACGCACTGGAAGAAGACTGGACCCTTCCTTGAGGCTCCGCTGTTTCTTCGTCCTCCGATTCACTAGGTGACGGAGGCGGAAGCTTCCTTACATCACTATTTCTATTGGAAATTTGCTTTGGAGTCCTATCCCCCTGTTTCTTCTTTCTATCATCTATGTCACCTGAGGGTCGAGCAGGAGACGGAGAAGGTTTTGACCTAACACTGCGATTGCTACGTTGTTTTACAGTCGGTTGCTTCGGTAATTGCTCCTCTTCGTCCGACGTACTGTGGGATCTCGGTTCCTTCTTAGGACGTGTCTTGTTTCGATTGGCTGGCCTGGTCTTTTCTCTGATGATCATCACACTTTCACAATCACTCTCACTTGAGAGTTCCGGTGCACGGGTGGGAAGACTGGGACGTTTCCGTCTCGATCTCGTTTCGGTAAGTGCCGGTTTCTTCTTGGCACCGTCTCCGGAGTCTGATTCAGACAGACTAGACAAGAGTGGAAGAGGAGGACGCTGAAGAGCCTCCACTACATTGTCCAGCTCTTTGTTCGAGTCGCTACCATCTGAGACTGCACCACTCTCTATTTTCACTTTGGTCCCAACTACAGGATGCTGCAGGCTTGATTCTAGTACACTGTTAGCAACTGTAGGAGTTGTATTTGCTGAGCAAGGTTCCTTCTTCACAAACTCAGACTGGAACAAGAAAATAAACTGTTATGTACCCCCACACATATATATTTCAAGCAGATGCACAGACTGAACAAAATTTGTTGAAATAACATAAGCTCCCGTAAGTTTGTCAGACACACATTAGAAAAACAGGTTCCGTGTATCAGACAAACTGGACTGTAGCATCCTTAAACGAATCTGCCTCTCTGGGTCAATGATTTCACTGGCAAAAATAAAATTAGGGGTCTGTAGTGGCCACGCGGTCTGAGGCGTGGGCCTTGTGCTGCTTTGTCGCAGGGACCGTGGGTTCGAATCCCACTCAAGCCATGGATGTTTTTCTGTGTTGTGTTGTCCTATGTACAGGTAGAGGCCTTGTGAAGGGCCAATCCCTCGTCCAAGGAGTCCTACCGAATGTCTATAGATCAAGACCCGTAAAATGTATAAACATTGTTAATAACCGGAAAAAGAAAATAAAATTAACCCTTTGCAACCCACTTAAGAGCTGTTTTAAGTAAGATATTTCTAGCCTTCAGAATTCCTGTAGTTTTAATAATCGTACATGGGTAGCAACGTGGAAGCATCAATCAGCCTCCTAATGTTTGTGGATTAAATTATAAAATCTTCTTCTTGTTGGAATAATGTACTTCTCAGTAATGCTTAGTAATATTCATAATTATCAGTTACCATAATTACAGTAAGAGGGTAACTAACCTTGCAAAGCTTAGAGTGTTCACTTCCTACTGGTTGCTCTCCTCCAAGCGATTGCGTTTCCCTCTTAAGAAACCTTTCCAAGTTCCACCTGTCTTGTGGCTTTGTCTCTTCCATTGGTTCCATGGCTTGGGGAGACAAATGAGCTTGTGGGGCAATGTTGCCCCCTGCAGAATCCACAGGTTCATGTGATGCCTCATCCCCTGATTCTTCACTGCTCGACTCACTCTCTGATTCAGAATCTGAATCTTCCTCGCTGGATGAGCTGCAAGCCCCTGAAGACTTGGGAGGACCCACTGGGGACATGGGTGCCACTGGCTGCGGAGGTCTATTTCCAATACTTAGTACGCTGGGTGTTGGACTAGCAGTCAATATAGCCGCTGCACAAGGGCCTCCTCTTCTGCTGAAATGTAAGCGCAGTTTCAAGCATTAGACAGATCGGCTGTATATGACTTATCAAAATATATAAATGATACACAATTTTGTTAAAATATATAAATATCAGATGTTTGGTGTTAACCGATGTTTCAACAAACACTGCAGTTGCCATCTTCACATCCACTGCCTGCTCTATATAAGTGAGATGGCTGCGATATTTATAATACATGTCAGGTAGAAGAAATGCCAAGAAAATTTTCGTTGGGAAACCTGGAGGAAAAAGCCCACTTGGGAGACCTAAGTATAGCGACTGAATAAAATTGAACACAAATATTCAAAGAAACAGGATTTAAGGATATAGGAAATAAAAAATCAATACCTGGAGCATTTTCAAATAGCAGGAAGGAAATAGCAATGGAAAGGAAATGTGCTAGGGAGCGGGAACCGGTGTACAGTGAGAAGCATTGAGCTGGAACCCTCAGGGCAATAGAGAGGAAAAGGCAGGTACAGCAAGAAGAATGGGAAATGTAGAGAATGAAGAGAGCTGGAAGCAGGTTAAGACCAGGACAACTAATTGTATTATACGTTTTATGCATTTGTGATCAGTGGTGATGCAGATGTCTTCATAATGGAAGATTAATTAAACACAATTCCTGGGTCATCTAAAAACGCTGTTTCAACTAAATAGATTGTGCGTTTATGAGCCGAGAAAGATGATCATTTATGAGTGGGTAAATATTAGGAAATAGGTAAGTGTAGTCTATCTGAAGGCCCTGGACAAATTAAGGATAACCACGATTTGGTCAGGATTGGCAGTAGCTCAAGCAATATCAGAACTGCGTATCTCCTGAACACAAGTTACAGCTCCACCAAACTACACATTACAACTGTGCTTACAGCACAGATAAATACTATTTCATCACCAGAATGTCTCTCCATGTTAAGTGGCTGTTTTGTCATCAGAGCGCTGTCGGTCTGTGGATGAGGAGACGGCCTCCAGGTATGGGTGACCATCAATATATGGAATAAACAGTCTAGCAATAGTCCTTAAGGTTCAAGATCAAAACACCGAACGATTAAAATAGTGAATATGGGAGGGTGTATTAGGGTTCATGAAAATATCACAACATACTACTGGTTTCTTAAAACCTGGAAAAGCATGAAACCCACTGGATTAACACGAAAATTACCCCTATTACAGCCCCTCCACTGACGGCTAAATACGGGTCTACGCTACAACAAAGTCCGAAGGTTTCACCTTGCGCTGAATCGCAAATTTTTGTCACCGTTTTTCTGCGGGTAGAGGCCTTACCGTGGGTCGATCGCCCGTCCTTGGAGTCTCACCAAACAGAAAAAAAATTTCGGTTCCAGAATTAATTTTGAACTGGAACAGGTCAGAGGATCTAATCTGTAAAAGCTAAAAGAAGACGTTCTAAATAAACTTCGCCTTGTGAAAACTCGTTCTAGCGGAAGTTGGCGACCGCCTGGATACAAGGTGCAGGCATGAATAAACAAACAGAAAATGAACAGCTCGATTGCCCGGCCATTCGTAGACTCGTCTAACATTTCTTCCGTGACCTCATTCAACCGCCGAACGACCAATAACGAAAATAAGGAAAAGAAGAAATAACAATAATGCTAGTATGAACGCCTGCCACAAAGGAGAGTAATTTTGAGACATGAGCTCCTCACGACGGTGAAGATGTCAATGTTGGTCTTCTCGGACTTGTACGGAGAAACCAGCGTTTCTGAGGAACGCACTACCTCCACCTTCATGGTTTTCAATCTACAAATCCACACAGCGTTACAACCCAGAAGACAACATTTACATCAACTGTGTATGCGCGAGAGTCAATAAACCAAGTGATAAAAGGAAACGCATACATAAACACAGGCCCTCTCATTTTCAATTACAGGTGGGAATGTGGTTGTATTTCAGTTCCTAGACGTCATAATTTGGCACACGTCGTACTGCTAAACAATTGTCTCAATCATAAAACACATTTCCTGCATCCAGATCCATGAAAACATATTATGATAAAACACGGGTAGTTTGTTGACAATATCAGAACCTTATCAGCACAAACACCACCTGTGATACAGAAGACTGTAACGTTCCGTATCACTGCATTGTTTCTCGATAACGTACGTGACGATGACTACGCAATAAATCCAAAGCCAAACTGAAAACGTAATTTTATTAATGTTCAAACTGCAATTAAAACATCACTAAGCAGAGACCTGCCTGAGAAAATGTTCGTCCACAATTAAATCCAGTCAAAATCCTTCCCCTACTTTAAATCCATTTAAACATTATCTCGTCACGTACGCCTTTGTGTAAGTGCTTCCTTCAGGACGTGCAGACTTTGTGGCGGGTGGTACAGAACCTTGCTTTTCGAAACAACTTCGTACAACCAATGTTGACATTAAAAGTAGTTACAAAGTCAGTAAATGATCATTACTTCTAGCATTTAGTTGACAGTCGTCTTAA